AAGAGAAAACTTCAACAGACCAATAACAACTAAGTAATTGAAGAGGTAATCAAGATTCTCCCAGCAAACAAAAGCCCAGGCCCGGACGGCTTCACGGGGAGTTTCACTGAACATTCAAAGAAGAACTAACACCCATTCTTCTCAAACTATTTCAAGAAATTCAAGAAAAAGACTTCCAAAATTGTTTTATGAGGCCAGCATAATTTGAATTCCAAAACCAGAAGAAGACACTACGAAGAAAGAAAACTACAGGCCAGTATCCCTGATGAACATAGATGCCAAAATCCTTAACAAAATACTAGCCAATTGGATGCAGCAATACATCAAATAAATTATTCACTATGACCAAGTGGGATTCATCCCAGGGATGCAAGGCTGGTACAATATTCAAAAATCAATAAATGTGATTTGCGTAAACAAAAGGAAAGATAAAAACCACATGATCACATCAATAGATACTGACAAAGAATTCGACAAAATGCAGTACCTATTTCTGATAAAAATGCTCAGCAATGTGGAAAAAGGATCATATTTCGACATAATAAAGGCTATATATGAAAGACCTACAGCAAACATCATACTCAAAAGGAAAAAACTAAAAGCATTTTTTTAAGAACAGGAACAAGACAAGGATGCCCACGTTCACCACTCTTATTTAACATAGTCCTGGAAGTCATGGCCACAGCAATCAGTCAGGAAGAAAAAATAAAAGGGATCCAAATTGAAAAGGAGGAAGTCATTATTTGCAGATGACAGACTCCATAAAAAATCTACTAGACTTAAAAAATAAAATTGGCAAAGTAACAGGATAGGAAATGAACATCACAAAATCGATGGCATTCTCACACACCAATAATGAACTCACAAAAAGAGAAACTAAAAAAAAACAACAATCCCACTTATCATCGCAGCAAAAAAATTAAGATACCTAGGAATAAACTTAACCAAAGAAGTAAAGGACCTATTTGCAGAAAACTACAGGACATTGAAAAAAGAAATAAAGGTAGATATAAAAAAGTGAAAGCACATACCTTGTTCATGGATTGGAAGACTTAACAGCATTAAAATGTCCATATTACCTAAGGCAATCAATAGATTCAATGCAATTCCCATCAAAATACCAACAACATACTTCACAAAACTAAAACAAATACTTCAAAAGTTTATATGGAACCAAAAATGACCCCAAATAACTACAGCAAACTTGAAAAAGAAGGACAAAGTAGGTGGGATCACAATACTGGATATCAGGTTATACTACAAAGCCACTGTAATTAAAACAGCCTGGTACTGGCACAAGAACAGGCATATAGACCAGTGGAACAGAACAGAGAATCCAGAAATTGACCCAAAACAATATGCTCGATTCATATTTGACAAAGGTGGTAAGAGCATACAGTGGAGTCAAGACAGTCTCTTCAATAAATGGTGTTGGGCAAATTGGACAGCTACATGCAAAAAATTGAAACTAGACCATCAACTTACACCATACACAAGAATAAACTCAAAATGGATAAAAGACTTAAATGTGACTCGTGAATCCATAAAAATCCTAGAAGAAAATGTGGCAACAAAATTTCGGACATCATACACAGCAAAATTTTCACTGATACATCACCTAAGGTAAAACAGAAACAAGGGAAAAATGAGACATGGGACTACACAAACTAAGAAGCTTCTCCACACCAAAAGAAACAACCACCAAAATGAAAAGAGAACCCATTGTATAGGAGGGCATCATGCCAATGATACATCAGATAAGGGGTTAATTTCCAAAATATATAAAGTGCTTATACAACTCAACTAAAAGAAGACAAAAAACCCAATGAAAAAATGGGCAGAGGACTTGGAGAAACACCTCTTCAAACAGGACATACAAGTGGCCAAGAGACATATGAAAAAATGCTCAGCATCACTAATCATCAGAGAGATGCAAATTAAAACAACTATGAGGTATCACCTCACACCTGTCAGAATGACTGGCATCAACAAATCATCAAGCAAGTGCTGGTGAGGGTGTGGAGAAAAGGGGACACTAGTGCACTGCTGGTGGGAATACAGAATGGTACAGCCACTATGGAAAACACTATGATGTTACCTCAAAAAGTTTAAAATGGAACTGCCATTTGACCCAGTGATCCCACTTCTAGGAATATACCCTAAGAAGCCAGAAACACCAGTCAGAAAGAATATATGTACCCCTATGTTCATAGCAGCAGTACTTGCAATCGCTAAGATCTGAAAACAGCCCAGGTATCCATCAATAGATGAGTGGATAAATAACCTGTGGTACATATATACAATAGAATACTATGCAGCTATAAGAAAGAAAGATCTTGTATCCTTTGAGAGGACATGGAGGGACCTGGAGAGTATTATCCTAAGTAAAACAAGCCAATCAGAGAAAGACAAATATCACATGATCTCAGTTTTTTGTGGAATATAATGAACAAAACAAACTGATGAACAAAATAGACCCAGAGACATAGAAGTAGAGTACAGGCTGACAAACCTCAGAAGAGGGGTTTTGGGGGAGAAATAAACCACAGAACTTATATGCATGTATGTGTAACCAATGGACATAGAAAACAATGCTGGGGACGGGGCTTGCGGGGGTGGTGGTGGTGATTGGGAGGAAGGTGTCAATGATGGGAAAAGGAGAAATATCTATAACAAAATTAAATTAATAAAAAATTTTTTTTAAAAAAAGGAATATATGCACCCCTGTTCATTGTAGCGCTATTTACAATAGCCAAAATTTGGCACTGGTCAGTTTGGCTCAGTGGTTGGAGTGTCAGCCTGCGGACCAGAGAGTCCTGGGTTCGGTTCCCACTAGGGGCATGTACCAAAAACTAAAAAAAATAATAAAAAAAATAAAGTTGTGTAATACAATAGCCAAGATTTGGAAGCAGCCCAAGGGTCCATCAGTAGATGAGTGAATAAAAGAGCTGTGGTACATTTACGCAATAGAATGGTACTCAGCAATAAAAAAAAAAAAAAGGAAATCTTATCTTTTTGTGACAGCATAGATGGACCTGGAGAGTATTATGCTAAGTGAATAAGGCAGTCTGAGAAAGACAAGTACTATATGATTTCACTTATATGTGGAATCTAAGGAACAAAATGAACTAACAGGCAAAATAAAGACAGACCCATAGATAGAATGCAGGCTGACAGCTGTCAGGGGAAGATGGGTGGAGGGATTGAGTAAAAAAAGAAAAAAAGAGAGAAAAACTTATGGACATGGACAACAGTGTGGTGCCTGCCTGGGGGAGGGGTGTGCGGAGGGGTGGAGGAGGTTTTCAGGGGGATGAATGGTGATGACTTGGGGTGGTGAACACACAATACAGTATACAGATGATAAGTGTAGAACTGTGCGCCTGAAACTTGTATAATTTTTTTCATCAGAGTCACCCCAATAAATTCAATAAAAAGCAAAAACAAAATTTATCAATCAAAATTTATTAAATGAGTTTTTCTTCTGATTCTGCAGATGGTTACCAGCATTCTCTCACTCAGGCCTTCAAATGTGGTTTTCTCTTTGCTCCTCTCTTTGTCTTGCCCCCTAAATCCTGCTGATTATGCCTTTGAAACAGCTCTTCACTCCCTTTGTTTCTGTTCCCATTGCCACTACCTAATCCAGGACCTCATTTGCTCAAGCCTAGATTTCCACAGTCATCTCCTTACTTTTTCTCCTCCTTATGCAATGCAGTATATAGAGTCCTACAATATGCATCCTGAAATACTGCTAGCATTGTGAAAAGCTGTAATTAGAGAGAAGACACACTGTGTGCCAATAGTCAATGACAGTTAATGTCTCAATATTCTTATCTGTAAAATAAAGATTATGTTTCAAGTATTGTGAAATTGAAATAGGTAATATATGTGAAGTTGCTTTGTAAGCTATAGATTACTAAGTAAATGTTATCTGTAGTGATTATTAGGCCACTTTGTCACATAGGAAATGCCCCACAATGCTCTTCAATACTTTCTAATTTCCCTGGCTCTTGAACTCTCAAGATATAATCCTATGATTCTTGAGCTCATTTCCATTAGTAACTTGATCTGCAGACTCCCTTCCAAGTAGACTGGCCCCCTCTGGCCCTTGGAACACAATCCTCTCATTTCTGTTTCATGTTCTTGCTGGTCTTTCCGCCTCCTTCCCCTTCCCCACCAGCTCTCTCTCTCTCTTTTCAGAGCTCCTCTTCATTTATAAAAATCCCTCCATTCCCAACTCAATTTCTGCCTCTTCAATGAAGCTTTCTCATCCCATACCTCCTGTTAACTTCCCTGAAGCACACAACAGCGCACTCAGTCGTCATCATAACATGTGTTTGACACGTGATTATATGCCATTCTACTATCATTCCTCATGTGCATAGCTCCCTGAATTTTCAACTGAGTCTGCACCCTCTTTTGTACTTTACCAGGGACTAGCATAGACCTTTCTCATTGTGGGTGACACTATTATACAAGGGTGAATCAATAACAAAGAAATATTTAGTATAGCTTCAAAGTTGTTCATTCCAGAAACTTGGCCTATCTTTGGTGACTTCATTTAGCAGTCTGCTGTGGACAAGGACTATGATGCCATCAACAAGTAACCTCCTTGAATAAGCATGACAGTAATCCATTGCTTTATGAATGTGATGCCAGTTTTAAAATTGAACTTCTTAGTGTATTTCCAACATATGAAAAACCAGACATTCGACAATAATGTTTACTTGGTTAAACTCTAATAGAAAATGGAATACTTTGCTTTTCAACAGTGCCCCACATAACCATCAAATGTGCTGACCCTTTAAAAATGTAAACAACAGTATTGAAACTGTATAGAAATAATAATTAACATTTATTTATATAAGTAGTGATATGGCTATCAGATCAATAGTACTTTGTAAATATAGGACGCCTCAATAAGTAAACATGAACTTCGCTGTTATACTTGTATTCTTATTATCAGCTATCTCATTATCTGAATTCCATGTGTTCATTCACAGATAGTTCATGATGTTGAAAGAGACAGAGTAATAATTCGTCTATGCAACTGTCCACTTCTGTATAATGATGTGAAAGTGCAATTTCTGTCTTCTTCGGTAAGTAATCAAAAAACAATCTATGTTGTTGTTATTGTCTGATCTTTTGAATGATTCTGGCCTGGGATTTCCTTTGCTACATATCCCAACAAGGGAGATGATAGATGTCAACTCCTAGCCAGGGAGGAAAACAAAAACAAGTCAGATTCATAACACATTATTTTAAAAGAACATATGTAATTTTATTTTATTTATTTTTTTAATTTAATTTAATTTTATTATTTTTTTTATAAATTTTTTATTTATTTTTTTGTTACAGATATTTTAACTTTTTTACCCAATTGGCACCCCCCTGCCCACCCCACCCCCGTCCCATCCCCAGCTTAGTTGTCCATGTCCATTGGTCATGCATACATGCATATAAGTTCTGTGGTTTCTCTCTTCCCACCCACCCCCCAACACCCTCTTCTGAAGGATGTCAGTCTGTGCCCTACTTCCATGTTTCTGGGTCTAGTGTATTTCTCAGACTGTTATATTTATTATATTCCGTATATAAGTGAGATCATGTGGTATTTGTCTTTTTCTGTTTGGCTTCTTTCACTTAGGATAATAATTTCCAGATCCCTCCATGTCGTCTCAAAGGATAAGAGATCTTTCTTTCTTACCGCTGCATAGTACTCCATTGTGTATATGTACCACTGCTTTTTTATCCATTCGACTACTGATGGACACTTGGGCTGTTTCCAGATCTTAGCTATTGTAAATAGTGCTGCTATGAACATGGGGGTACATATATTCTTCCTGATTGGTGTTTCAGGCTTCTTAGGGTATATTCCTAGAAGCAGGATCACTGGGTCAAATGGAAGTTCAATTTTTAATTTTTTGAGGTAACACCATATTGTTTTCCACAGCGGCTGCACCAGTCTGCATTCCCACCAGCAGTGTATTAGAGTCCCCTTTTCTCCACACCCTCGCCAACACTTGTTGTTTGATGATTTGATGATGGCGGCCATTCTGACAGGTGTGAGGTGATACCTCATTGTTGTTTTAATTTGCATCTCTCTGATGATTGGTGATGTTGAGCGTTTCTTCATATGTCTTTTGGCCATTTGAATGTCCTGTTTGGAGAGGTGTCTATTCAGCTCCTCTGCCCATTTTTTAATTGGGTTCTTTGCCTTCCTTTTGTTGAGTTGTATGAGCACTCTATATATATATTGGAAATTAACCCCTTATCTGATACATCATTGGCAATGATGTTCTCCCATACAGTGGGTTGCCTTTCCATTTTGATGATTGTTTATTTTGCTGTGCAGAAACTTTTGAGTTTCATGTAGTCCCATGTGTTCATTTTTTCCTTTGTTTCTGTTACCTTAGGTGATGTATCCGTGAAAATTCTGCTCCGTATGATGTCCGAAATTTTGTTGCCTACATTTTCTTCTAGAATTTTTATGGATTCACGGGTCACATTTAAGTCTTTTATCCATTTTGAGTTTATTCTTGTATATGGTGTAAGTTGATGGTCTAGTTTCATTTTTTTTTGCATGTAGCTGTCTAATTTTCCCAACACCATTTATTAAAGAGGCTGTCTTTACTCCACTGTATGCTCTTCCCACCTTTGTCAAATATTAATTGAGCGTATTGCCTTGGGTCCATTGGTGGGTTTTCAGTTCTGTTCCACTGGTCTATATGCCTGTTCTTGTGCCAGTACCAGGCTGTTTTGGTTACAGTCGCTTTGTAGTATAACCTGATATCTGGTATTGTGATCCCACCTACTTTGTTCTCCTTTTTCAAGATTGCTGTGGCTATTCAGGGTCTTTTTTGGTTCCATATGAACTTTTGAAGTATTTGTTCTAGTTCTATGAAATATGTCGTTGGTATTTTGATGGGGATTGCATTGAATCTATAGATTGCTTTGGGTAGTATGGACATTTTAATAATGTTAATTCTTCCAATCCGTGAACAGGGTATGTGCTTCCACTTTTTTATATCTTCCTCTATTTCTTTTTTCAATGACCTGTAGTTTTCTGCAAATAGGTCCTTTACTTCTTTGGTTAAGTTTATTCTTAGGTATCTTAATTTTTTTGGCGCGATGGTAAATGGGAGTGTTTTTTCAGTTTCTCTTTCTGTGAGTTCATCATTGGTGTACAAGAATGCCGTCGATTTCTTGACGTTAATTTTGTATCCTGCTACTTTGCCAAATTCGTTTATTAAGTCTAGTAGATTTCTGATGGAGTCTTTAGGGTTTTCTATGTACAATATCATGTCATCTGCAAATAATGACAGTTTCACTTCCTCCTTTCCAATTTGGATCCCTTATATTTTTTTTTCATGTCTGAATGCTGTGGCTAAGACTTCCAGTACAATGTTAAATAATAGTGGCGAAAGTGGACATCCCTGTCTTGTTCCTGTTCTTAATGGAAATGTTTTAGTTTCTGTCCACTGAGTATGATGTTGGCTGTAGGTCTTTCATATATGGCCTTTATTATGTCGAGATATGATCCCTCTATTCCTACATTGCTGAGCGTTTTTATCAGAAATGGATGCTGAATTTTGTCGAATGCTTTTTCGGCATCTATTGATATGATCATGTGGTTTTTATTCTTCATTTTGTTTGTGTGGTGTATCATATTTATTTATTTGTGAATATTGTGCCAGCCTTGCATCCCTGGAATGAATCCCACTTGGTCATGGTGAATAATTTTTTTGATGTATTTCTGGATCCGATTTGCTAGTATTTTGTTCAGGATTTTGGCATCTATGTTCATCAGGGATATTGGCCTGTAGTTTTCTTTCTTCGTAGTGTCTTTTTCTGGTTTTGGAATTAGAATTACGCTGGCCTCATAGAACGTGTTTGGAAGTCTTCCTTCTTCTTGAATTTTTTGAAATAGTTTGAGGAGAATGGGTGTTAGTTCTTTTTTGAATGTTCGGTAAAACTCCCCCGTGAAGCCATCTGAGCCTGGGCTTTTGTTTGCTGGGAGAGTCTTGATTACCTCTTCAATTTCCTTAGTTGTTATTGGTCTGTTCAAGTTTTCCATCTCTTCTGGGTCTAATTTTTGGAGACTGTGTGTTTCTAGAAATTTGTCCATTTTGCTTAGATTGTTGAATTTGTTGCCATATAGTTGTTCATAATAGTTGATAACAATCTTTTGTATTTCCGTGGTGTTGGTTGTTACTTCTCCTCTTTCATTTCTGATTTTGTGTATTTGGGTTTTCTTTGTTTTTTGGTGATTCTAGCTAAGGGTCCATCAGTCTTGTTTATCTTTTCGAAAAACCAGCTCTTTGTTTCATTGATCCTTTGAATTGTTTTTTTGGTCTCTATGTCATTTATTTCTGCTCTGATCTTTACTATTTTTTCCCTTCTACTTGCTCTAGGGTTTTCTTTTTGTTTGCTTTCTATTTCTTTACGTTGTGAGGTTAGACAGTCAATTAGAAATTTTTCTTGTTTTTTGAGGTAGGCCTGTAGTGCTATGAACTTCCCTCTCAAAACTGTTTTCGCTGCATCCCATAGATTTTGGTTTGTTGTGTGTTCATTTTCATTGGTTTCCAGGAAGTTTTTAATTTCTTCCTTGATCTCCTCGGTGACCCATTCATTGTTTAATAACATGCTATTTAGCCTCCATGTGTTGAAATGTCTTTGCATGTTCTTGTTGCAATTGATTTCTAGTTTCATGCCATTGTGATCTGAGAAGACGCTTGATATGATTTCAATCTTCTTGAACTTGTAGAGATTTAGTTTGTGTCCTATCATGTGCTCTATCTTTGAGAATGTCCCATGTGCACTTGAGAAGAATGTGAATTCTGTAGTTTTGGGGTGTAATTCTCTGTAGATATCTATTAAAACCATTTGGTCTAGTGCTTCATTTAGAGTCTCTGTTTTCTTGCTAATTTTTTGCCTAGAGGATTTATCCAGTGCTGTCAACGGGGTGTTGAAGTCCCCTGCTAAGATTTTATTGTTGTCGATTTCTCCTTGGAAGTCCTCCAGAAGATTTTTAATATATTTTGGTGCTCCTATATCGGGTGCATATATGTTTATCAAGGTTATATCTTCCTGTTGGATAGATCTTTTCAATATTAGGTAGTGGCCTTCATTGTTTCTAGTTATGGTCTTCATTTTGAAATCTATTTTATCAGATATGAGAATTGCTACCCCAGCTTTTTTTTCCTTTCCATTTGCTTGGAAAATTTTTTTCCATCCCTTCACTTTCAACCTATGTGAATGTTTTGTTGTGAGGTGGGTCTCTTGTAAACAACATATAGATGAGTCATGCTTTCTTATCCAGTCAGCTACTCTGTGTCTCTTTATGGGAGCATTCAATCCATTTACGTTTAAGGCGATTATTGATATGTACTTATTTATTGCCATTTTTGTTTAGTGTGGTTCTATTTTTCTTCCCATTTCTACTGCTAATTACAGCAGTCCTTTTCACATTTCTTGCAGTGCTGCTTTGGTGCTAATGTATTCCCTTAGCCTTTTTTTGTCTGGGAAGCTCTTTATTTGACCTTCTATTTTGAATGATAGCCTTGCTGGGTAGAGTAGTCTTGGATTCAGATTCTTGTTTTTCATGACCTTCATTACTTCATGCCATTCCCTTCTGGCCTGTAGTGTTTCTTGTGAGAAGTCAGCTGAAAGCCTTATGGGGTTCCCTTTGTAGGTAATCTGTTGCTTATCTCTTGCTGCTTTTAGGATTCTCTCTTTGTCTTTAATTTGTGGCATTTTAATTACTATGTTTCTTGGTGTGGGCCTGTTTGGGTTCTTCTTACTTGGGACTCTCTGTGCTTCTTGAACTTGAATGCCTTCTTCCTTCACCAAATTAGGGAAGTTTTCTGTCACTATTTTTTTGAATATATTCTCTATCCCTTGCTCATTTTCTTCTTCTTCGGGGACTCCTATGATGCGAATATTATTACGTTTCCAGTTGTCCCATAGTTCTCTTAAGCTGTCTTCCTGTTTTTTAATAGTTTTTTCCTTTTGTTTTTCTGATTGGTTGATTTTTTCTACCCTGTCTTCTAATTCACTGATATGGTCCTCAGCTTCCTCTACTCTGCTTTTTAAACCTTCCAATGTGTTTTTCATTTCTGATATGTCATTTTTTATCTCTTCTTGATGGTTTTTAATTTCCAATTGGCTTATTTTCAGTGTCTCTATGTCCTTACTCATGCTGTTCCGCTTCCTCAAGATCATGGCTCTGAATTCTAGCTCTGTTAACATGCCTAATTGCTCCACATTGATCTCATCTTCAGTGGAGGTCTCTTGCTCTTTCATTTGGCTTCTGTTTTGTGTTTCACCATTTTGGCTCTCACTGTGGGCTTTGGAGCCTGTCAAGTTTTCCCTGTGGGTGTTGGTGTTCTGCTGTTTGTGGCTCCCTCTCCTGTGTTTAGATGAACGAGGGAGGACTCACGTTAAACACCACTGTCAAGTCTTACTTTCCTGGTTAAAGTTGCCAGCCCAGGAAAGGTACTGTTATCCTCTAGCTTTTTGCCTGGAGGCTAGCAGTGGAGGTTACTTGATGGGTTTTGGGTTGTCAGTTGATTGAAAAGCTCCCTCAGGTGCTCAGCATAAGGGGATTTCCTGAGGGTGGGGCAGATGCTGGTTGTTAATGAGCTTCAATTATCACTTCAATGGCCCACAGGGTGGGGTTGGATCTCCGACGGAGGGGCTGCTGCCTCTCCTCAGGGCCCTGGGAAGGAGCAATATGCCCACAGTCCTGTGTGGCTGCACTCAGCAAAAGCTCTGAGTGCCCTCCAAATCCCAAGTGTCCTGACACAGCTCCAGTCCAGTCTGCCCTCCCTCTGCTGTAGCCCAAGGTGATTGGCTGTGGCTGTTTTAGCCTCTGTCCCGGCTGCACAGTGGCGCCGCCTGGGAGTGTGACCCTCGTGCGCTGCTCCCAGCTAAGGCCGCTGCCGAGCTGCTGACCAGGGGCTCCCAGCCCCCGTCTCGCGCCTTCGCAAGCCTACCAGGATCGAGTCAGTGTCCATGGTTATATGGTCCTCGCAAGCTGCTTTTCTGTTGTTTTTTCCCGTCGATTTGTCTGTGTTATAATTGTAATTCCAGTTTGGTTCTGGGAGACGGTCTGTATAGCTTCCGTTCACTCCGCCGCCATTTTTCCTCTCCAGAACATATATAATTTTAAAATGTTATTCTTTTATATTTTCTGATTTCTATACACTTTGTATGCATTAATTTTCAAATAAGTAATACAAAAACTAAGAGGTAAAAAAAAAAGACAAAGGTATATTTTAGTGCATAGCAATGATCACATTTTTTGCTTTGTATCTTTAAAACACTTTTTACCTCATAATTTATAAAATACTTTAAAGTGAAGATTTTACTGCCTGGCTGGTGTAGCTCAGTTGTTTGAGTGTTGTGCCACACACCAAAAGGTTGCCAGTTCAGTTCCTGGTCGGGGGTGTACAGGAGGAAGTTGATCAATGTCTTATGCGCGCTCTCTCTCTCTCTCTCTCTCTCTCCCCCCTTCCTCTCTCTCTCAAATAAATAAAAAATATTTTAAAAACTTTTTTAAAGTGAAGATTTTTACTTTCCTCTGAATTGTTACATATTATAAATAGTATCTTCATGTAATGTTTACTTTATAAAAAATCCAATATTTACTTTATGAAAAATAAAAATGTCACTGTCCTCATTACTGAGTATCATGAGTGTATAATTTATATTGACCAGTCATAAAATGTATGTCTGGGCATTACTCTGTATATAACACATTTCTAAGTCTTACTAGTTGCAGTTCATTTCCCTATCAAATCATGAACCCAAACTGCCAATAAGAAACTATGTCCATCGATTTAAAACTTATTTCCTGTGCCGTCCTTTAGCCCCTGCTTGCTCCCTGTTGGGGGAGAATCTACTAAATATTAAAATGGTAAATGTGTTAAAGCAAGTGACTTGGATAGTTCCCATATTGGATGGCTGCCCCTTGAATAATGGAGTCAGTCTGAACTGTCAATCATTGGCCTCCAAGCAGAAACACTAGTGATGGGCACTGGTGTACAATTTTCAAGGCCATGAGATGAAACCACTTTAAAAAAATGTAGGTATTTCTATCATCATCAATAATGACAGTTAATTATATAACAGCTGCTTCTTGTAGGAATGGATGATATATTTGGGCATAAACAGGCCTAGGTCCTTAGTAGATTCTGTTTAGCACTATCTAAATCAGATTAAAATTTATAAATATCCATTCTAGAAAGTCTACATTTCCTTGAAAGTTTTAATAGAAATGGCAAGAGAAAGAAACAGCAACTACTGAAAGCCTCCTCCTTTGTGTCTTCGAGTTAATGTTATAGGCAGTAAGGTGCACATTTAAAACAGCTAAAACTGTTTGATAAATATAAGTGAATAAAAGAAATTTTAATTCCTTTGGAGTGATTAGTTCTTGGTATCAATTTTAGTATGAAGAATAACCTTCTTTTTTTTTTAAACCATGTATTTTTAGGATCTTCCTAAATACTATGACAACTGCCCATTTTTCTTTTGGTTCCACACGTCTTTTATACAAAATAACAGGTATGACTTACGATATTATCCAGTAGAAACAGCCTTATCTTCAGTGTCTGTGTAAGGGGGTAATGGAAGTCTTTTGGTGATTGCCATAAGCTCAGTTGACAGAAACCAAAAAATTCTTGTCACCATTTTTCATTCACATACTCATCTTATTATAAAAATATGGTTATTCATGAGACTATTGCATTATCCTCAAGGTCCATGCCATAGGACTGTGTTATATGTTTAAATGTATTCTAATCAGATCTGGAGTGTGGTAAGAACTGCCTCCCATAAGAACTGCCTCCCACGGAAGTTGGAGTCTGCTCAGGTCCTCAGTGTGTGCTCATTTACTGATGACCGACCACCACCAAATTCAAAGTAAGGCATCATCTAGGGGGGCTACAGCTAGTTTTAAAGCTGATTGGTACACTTTTATTTATTTTTTATCCTCACTCGACATTTTTCCATTTTTTGTTAAGATAGAGCGGGAGGGAGAGAGAAGAGAGAGAGAGAGAAACATCGACGTGAAAGGGACACATCGAGTGGCTGCCACCCGCACGACCAACCAGGGCCGGGGACAAACTGCAACCGAGGTACATGCCCTTAGCGGGAACCAAACCCGGGTCTCTCTGTACCACAGGCCGTCGCTCCAACCGCTGAGCCAAACCGGCCAGGGCTGATTGGTACACTTTTATCTAGGGCATAAGTTATAAAACATAGTAAGTGTCCATGAAGACAGTCAAAAAAGACATTAATCTTGTGCACCCCCCCTCTCCCGGAACATGCCTATGCCTCTACTTCCTCTTTTGTCCTTCAAAGTGCATCTCTCTCTCCCTTTTCTCCTAAGTTCCAAGGGAGCTTCTATTACTTTAACTTGCTAAATAAACTTTCCCTTATCATTCTTTTTTATTCAGTAATAGTTTCCCATTTAAAAGTGATTTCTAGTAACTTAATTGGGAACCACTTTTTAAAAGGTATATTATTCATTGATTTGAAGATTTTTATTCCAAAGAAACTTCTACCATTTCTGGAAACTCATTTCTGAGTCTAGAAGTTCTCCACTTTAAGTACTTGGTCCATGGTGAAGATTTGAGATTATTGGTATCACAATACCACCCAATACAAAAGGAAAAATAATATTTAAAAAACCATGCGGGTGAGTTTTGAAGTGATTGTGATTGTATGTGACATGAATTGATAGTGCTCATTACACAAGTCCTAGCCTGTTCTTCAAATCCGAACTGCATGTCACCACACCTCAAGTCCAGTCTGGCAACAGGAAATTGAACATCTAACCTACACACTTATAATATATGCACATTTAATGGATTTTGATAGAGTGAACTTTAGATTGGATGAAAAAATTTGACCAGTTTTTTTCCCTGGATGTACACAAACAAACTTTACCTCACAACAGGAGCAAAGTCCCTCAAACAGACATCTGGTTAGACCTTCATTTGGTGGTAATCTTCAGAAGTGGTTCTTGCTCAATAAATGACACAGCTTTTTTTCCTTTAAAACACCATGTTCACATTGGCAAGGCAACCCCACTTTCCTCCTCACTTTTGTGTTTCTAAAGGTTTCTTCAACATTTAAATGTCCTTAGTACTTGGTAAAGCTGATTTTATTATAAGATTGCTAATCAGCTGAAAATGCCAACTTCCTCATTCAAAAAACACTTGGTATTTTATTTTTGGTTTTGATACACATCTATTCTCTCTGGCTAATTGCTATCACATGTAGAAATTTATTTTATTAAACCCAGATGTTATTAATCCCATAAAAGGCAATGTTAATAGAATCAGTGACATACTGTTACTGTGTTTGTTCCTGAAGATTAAAATATTTTGCATCTCACTAGAGAAGTGGGAGCATTGGTGCCTAGAAAGCTAAGATACAGAAAAGGCAGAGACTAATCTCGGCCAGGAAACCTTTCTTTAAAGCTTTAACAAGGGTGCCCTGCTGAATGGCTTTTCTGTTGAGCTCTAAAATGTAATGTGCTTTTTTCTATTCTAGGCTTTATCTTTCAAGAAATGAATTGGACAATCCCCATAAACCAAAAGCATGGAAAATTTATCGTCCAGAGTTTGCAGTCGAAATATATTTTGATAATAAGTTGTAGCTGGTATCTGATTAAGTGTAGTTCCCCTTCTAGAATAGAATCATATTGCTCCCAATCCCTGCTACATATTTATATCTTCAAAACCTGTTCCCTTGTGGTATACTTATATTTACATATATGTACATATGTTCTTGAGAAATCTATTAAATATATACAAGAGAAAATGTCAATGGTAATTTTTTTTCCTTTTTGAAGGAATATACTTCACAGTTTCAATTTTATTGAGATAAATTTAGAACACAGTACATAGAAACGTTATCACTTTTTAAAACTTTCATATTAAAATAATTGAAATATTTAAAAATTGGGATCACCCCCAATACTGTGGGTTCATTTTATTTACTTATATATGTTTGGACAAGTATGTATTCCCTGCTTTGTTTCACATTTATAATTTCAGATTAGAAGGTAATTTCAATTTTCTTCCTCTATTTGATTTACAAACTACCAAATATCAGATTGGCAGGAAAGACTTTTAAACCCAAAGACATGTCTACACAGCAGCTCCCCACCCCCAACACATGCTTTTCTCTTGCTTGCCGAGCACCACGCAGACCATGGCAATCCTCCTTTAGTTACACAAACACACACACGCACACACACTGCAGAGGGTAGGAGAATCTCGGTCCACATGAAGGATAAAGAATCTTCAGTAACTTTTTTTGTGTAGCATCACAAGTGACGTCAAAGGAAATATCTGCCTGAAGATCTAGATTATTTTAACACCACTGCTGCACCACCACCCCCAACCACCATGAACCAACTTCACCTAAGCATGGGGAACTCTGGAGGAAGGTCACCTTTTCATTACAAACACTGGTTAGTCCAGTGTCCACAAGGCATCATTTCCTCTTTGGTACGCAGTGCTATTTTATTCTAAGTACCTTCACTGCCAGTGTATTTTTAAGGCCATAACTGTCCTTGAAAACAGCTGTTTTGCCTTTATGGAAATTTTCCTTATTTGAGTGATTTTTTTTCTCCTTTAATTGGCAAGGCTCTCAACCATCTAGACAAAGTTAAATTCATAAGGTAGCAACTAATAAGAAATAGTCCCTCTGCTAAAACACTATACTCTTTCCTGAAAAAAACCTTGCACTCTGCAAAAAGCACTCACTAAAGAAATGGTTTGCTCTGGGGAGACAGACCGGATTGGGGGTTTGGAGCAGACAACTCCAACTAAGCAATTTTGTAACCAGCACACTAACCACTAACCACCCAGGTGGCAGTTCAGAATGTCTGGAGGTTGCCACAGTAGGTTTTTTGGGTTTTTTTGAGGAGGAACTAGGGCAATACTTTAAGTAGAGAAGGGTTGGTGGGTGCCAAAGTGGCAGGCACAGGTGCCCTCTTCTTTTTCCTCAAAATAGCCCACAAAGGGTCCCAGCTGCCCGTGCAGCAGCTCAGCTGAAGGCGGTTTGCTTTGCTGACCAAGTTAGCATTCTCCTCTCCCGAATCTGGCTCCCCTGAAGGAAGAGATCTTGGAGGACACCCTCTCCAGTTCTTTCCAAAAATGACTGCATGATTCCCTGTTCATTGGTGTTACAGAAATGTGTTGTGGCAGAACACGTTGTACTGTTTCCTTTAAAATTAATGCCACAATAATTCAGAGTGCAGGTCAGGTGGCAGGCCTAATCGGGGAAAAAAATGCTTAGCTGACTCAGTAAGGAATAAAATCTATCTTTTTCAATACTGCCAAGCCCCAATTTTTAAGAATCTTGCTTTTTGAAATAAGGAGATACAGTTGGGGTTTCTCTTCCCTAACTGTCCAAGATCCATCAGAACTCTGGCAATGGGTTGCCACACTCTTCTGCTTCCTCTCCTAGAAAGAGAACTTGCTTAGGGTCTCCAGGGGGTTGCTTTCTTAGAACCCAATATGAACAATTCTTTGAACATGAGAAACTTACATCAGAATATATCAGAATGATACTGGTTCTTTTCTTTTCTTTTCTGATAATGATTTTCTCAAACAGAATTTAATAACCTGGAATGGTATTATCCAAAACTTAACAGCAAGAAGTTGAACTATTTAAGGAAAAAGAATGGCATCCTACCAAATCAGACACATCACATCCACAGCCTGATGGAGGGAGACAGTAATTCTAATGAGCCAAGTTTCAGATCTGCAGTGTACATAAAGAACTCCTCATTTACTCAAATATCAGGCAAACTATTTAATGATACAGAACACCAGAATTTCTCTAAACACAGTATTTCAAGTTACCATATTTTTGTCTGGAGTACATACCTGAAATGGTACAAATTATACCCAAATACTGGACCATGAATTAAATAGAATGAAAAATAAATTCCTCTGACTTTCCATTCCTTCCTCCCACTCACTCGTACTGGCCTCAGACTATTTGGACTGAAGACACTCAAACCCTGAAAGGAAGACAGAGGTCTACCGCCAGCAGGGCTGAGATGCCGGCACCAGGCAGGGGCGCCCAGGGCTCCGAAGCCGTTCACTTCCTGCTGGAAGACAGTCCCATTTCCTCTTTTGCTTCATTTCTAGCCTGTTCAGATGAAGTACTGCTCAGGTGGCCAAAGAACAGCTGCCCGTGTGGGAATCAGGTGAATGAGTGTTGTTGCTAGTGTATACATACAGCATATCTTAATAAAAATTTCTTGTTTCTTTGCTGTATAAGAGGCTCCCACACTGTAAAGGCGGGATGAGGGAGTTATGGACCAAGAAAAACCTGAGAATGGGTCAGCCTGACATTACTCGCGTGGAGGGCAAGCACCACGTTTTGCTAGTTCTGAGCAGAGGACTCCAGCCAGGAGCACTGTCAGACACCAGACAGGGAACAAGGGCTTCTCTCGGCTTTGGCATTCTACTCCCGGGATGGATCTGCAGACAGTGGAGGCAATGAGTGAGCGGTCCAAAGTGGTCCAACAGAATACTCCAGAGTCCTACCCAGGCCAGGACCCAATGGCAGACGCTAAGTGCTGTTGTCGCCACAGGGTCTTCACAAAGATAGCAGCACAGCCCATCCCCTCAGACCCTTCCTCAACCGAAAGTCCAGCTGAGGCTCTTTGGGAGAGAGGAATGGAAGTTGGCACAGTGAAGGCCACACAGTTTCCCAAAGGCCACACCCAATAGGTTAAAGAGTATATGATCCCAACAAAAAAAAAATGAATGGCACAATTTTAACAGTAGAGCATCTTGGGAAAATCCAGGATGCCTACTCTGAAACTTAAATCAGAAACATGGAAGCCACATCAGTATGCCAGTCTATTCTCCTCTAAAATCTAGACGGATAGTTTGGTTTTCAAGCACCACAGGAAATCTTTTTAAAACCTTTAACCACTTGGTATAGTGCATGTGTTAAGCAGATTTTAAGAGAGACCTTACATCTAGAATGGGTTAAGTAATCATAACCATCTTCATGAAATATGGTTACCTCTGGGTTTCTCTGGTGTGATCTGAGATTAAACACGGAACAAATTGTGCTTCACAACACACAACCATCCGAACTGCATGTACATGTACAAGTTTATGCAAAATCCCTGATATAATTATGTTTAACTTTTCAGATTAGGCACAGAGGGCCAGAGACTCACCCTGTATATCCTACCAAAAACAAGAGCAGCAACTTTTCTACTGCAATACAATTATGGGCAGAAATTAAATGACGTAAAATTGAGGTTCTTCCATAAAGTTTAAGATTTAGGGTAGAAAAATGGAAGACAACAAAATGCTCTGAAATCAAAATAATTCTACATTGGTCTTGTACTCCATAAAACCCTGAGATGGCCTATAGTCCTCAAACACGTGTACTTGGATCCAGGTTCACTAGAACACATCAGTCTGCTTCAAATTGGCTCATCATCAACTTCCTGCTGTATTCATAGGCCAAAAATAGTGCCCCATTGGCAGGGAACGCTCGGATCATAGTAGGTTTCAGTCCAGAATATAAGGCCATTATTCCTATAAGACAAAAGGGTGATTAAAGACTGAGAGTTCTTTCCTTAGAGATACCCCATAAAGCCACATTACATAGATATTTTTACACTTACAAATCCATACAATAGCACTAAAAACCAACACATGCCTGGCCACTGTGGCTCAGTGGGCTGAGTGTCATCCCATGCCCCAAGAGGTCACCAGTTCAATTCCTGGTCAGGGCACATGTCCAGGTTGTGGGTTTGGTCCCCACAGTGGGGTTGGCAGGAGGCAGTCAACCAATGTTTCTATCTCTCTCTCCCTTGCCCTCTCTCTAAAGAATCAATAAAAACATATCTTTTTTAAAAAAACACACAATGAAAGGACTTATTTCCAGGTTTCCCTGGACTACTGGAACTAAACAGACTGCAGGAAACCAGACAATGTCAGGTCTCCCAACAAAGCTGGTTGATGCTCAGGTAACATACTCCAATCTCATGCCTGGCTCACTCCCAGTAGATGGATCTGGCAGAACTGAGGGCTGACAGAAGGCAACCACAGAGCCACAGGCTGCAGTTCCCCTGGAGGCGAGGACCGCGAGGCACAGAGCCATTGGAAAGAGCATTGAAGTCAGAAACCCATTTCTAATTTTAGCATTGCCCGGGGTGGTTATGAAGATTAAGGGAGGTATAAGTACTTTGTAAAACTATAAACTACTATGTAAATTTAAAAAAGGGTTACTATTAGTAAAATATAAGATGTCTGTATTCTACTTGTTCAATATAAAAATTGAACAATTTCTGCATACTGTTATGGTGCTCTCTTTTAAAATCATGAGAGAGGAGCTCTCGTCTCAAGCTTTAAGTTATATAAAGGATGCTGGAAGGACGGGTCTTCACTCACTAGTAGTATAAAATTGGCTTTATACAAACATTAAGTAGAAAATCTTCACCCTTCTACAAAAATATAAATTGATAGAAAATCACTTTCAGAAGTTGCTTAGTGCATTTCTAATTCCAGAAGTCTAAAGGTTAAGCATGTTACACGTTCTTTTAAATCCCTTAGTGGTTCTCTTAGGTCATCTGAAAATATCTATATGACATAAAACAAGTGGTGCTAACTTCAAAACATCTGTCCCCCTAAACAAAGTCCATATTTTAAAAATTCCTGTCAGGTACCTAGCCTGGGGGTTAGGAATCAGAACATCAAACATTCTTGAGAATGAAAGTAAGCTAAAGAAAGGACGTTGGAAACAAATCCACAAACATGGGATAATATACAGTGCTAGACAAGGGGTACCTGACAGGGGCAGAGAGCAATTATACATGTGATACGGCGCAACAATCACCGTATACGTATATACGTACCCCGGCTGTGCAATTAATAGACTCACCTTCATTTTTCACAACACTTATACAGGTTCCAATAAATCCTGCCTGTTTTCCAGACATGGAAAGAACTTGAATTCTAGACTTGATACAATCCACTGGGTAAACAGCAAGCCAGAGGCAAATTCCACCAACTCCACCACTTAACATCAAAGGGACAGGGCCTACAGAAGGAAAATAACAAACAGTATTTTGTCTCTAGAACAGTTGATGTGACATTTCTGGAGGTCAAAGTAGTGGCTGCAGGTAGGTGCAAATAAAACCGCTAATGCTGTGGGTGTCATTCTCTGAGGCACTGCGGGAGCACAGGTTCCCTGTCATAGTCTGGGCCTACCCTCATCTTGCAGGATGGAGAGGCCTGTGAGGGTCTAATCTGGGCTGGTCACTGTGGCACTGTGCCCTCCTGACCCCTCCTCTAGAGGGCTGGTCCGCACAGAACCAGCTGGCCCCCAGCAGCACAGCAATGCCCTGCTGGGAGGAATGAGACTAGAGACCACTGAAGCACAGGTCTTTTTTCAACCTTTTCATTCTGAAGTATTGCAATATTACAAAGCCCAACAGCCCTGATTCTTCCTTTACCATGAAAAAACAAAGCTGTCTTATTAAATAGAACAGTTAAGACTGAGAGCTTAACTAACCACAGAATAGGTTCAAAACTCTGCAGGCAGGTACTTAAGAAAAAAGTAATCCCACTCATGTGAGCCAAACATTGATATGTTGTGTCAAGCAGCTAAACAGAATAAGCTAAAAAGAACTATAATTTCATTGCTCTCAAAACAGTATCAAGATGTATTACCAAGTTTTAATTTTACTGCATGATGATTTACAGGTGATTTCCACTTAGTGCTGATTTCCCAGAGGGAAGGGAATTTCTGTATTTTCTCACCCTAAATTGGAGCCAGAACAAATTAACAAATGTTATTACAGGACAGAAGTTCGGGATGCATTGATTCCACCAGTCCTGAGGAAATTACCAAGTGGAGAGAAAGGTGCCAACAGTGGCCAGAGCCATCCAGAGGAAGGTGCCTGCAATTGCCAGGGCCTCCTTGCTTCCCAGCATCCAGAAACCCCAGTGCCCAGGGGCCCCCACAATGGGGCGCAGAGTGCAGGGAATCCGCAGCAACCACCCCTTGGAAAGCAGACCCCGTCAAACCCAATGCGAACACATTTACCTAGTTCATCTTTTGATCTCCCTGACGCAAAAAACGATCGACTCTGTTCATAGCCACCGAAAAAGAAGAAATAGCCTGGTACTTCTCGAAGTAAAGTGCTTGAGAGTCCGTGGTAGAAGCCCAATGGGCCGTCCTTTCTAAGGATGCTCTTCACTACAGACCAAACTGTACTGGGAGGAGGCAGAGGGGAGAGTGTTAAACACATTCCAGGGCAGTAGCACCCAATCAACACACCTGATTCAGCTCTAGGAAGGCAACAGCTGATTTTATAAATAGAGGAACCAGAATTCTGAGAATAAAACACTTCTATGGGAAGGAAATATCTAGAAAAGCATAGTGCAACTATATTATGACAAGTTTTATCACCTAAACTATTCTGTGGTAAAGAAATACCTTTCTAGAAGTCATATTATCAACAATGTAAAAGAGCTAATGCCCATTTATTCAACAGGGAGTAAGTGAAGTTACAATAAGGAGTATCAAAATTGGGCAAGAATAAATGTATTCTACTTGCCCTTATCTCCCTCGATTCCTAGACCTTCAATGTTTCTTTGGATCTGTGTTTTGAGGAAATTTGTTAGGGTGTTTTAGAAGTTGCTTTGTTTTGTGTTAATACAGAAAAATGAGAGAGAGAGTAAATGTTACTTGAAGACAAGGCGAAAGAAATTATATGAAGTGAGCTACAGTTCCTCTAGGTAACACCAAGAATTTAGTTCTTAGACAGATATGTAAGAAATTTTATTCTAAGCTGATCAGAGTCCACAGTAGCCAGAATGCAAGGCACTTTCTATCAGGGCCCTCGTCCTGAGGTGTGCACAGGGCACTCTCCATCAGGGCCCTCGTCCTGAGGTGTGCACAGGGCACTCTCCATCAGGGCCCTCTTCCTGAGGTGTGTACAGGGCACTCTCCATCAGGGCCCTCTTCCTGAGGTGTGTACAGGGCACTCTCCATCAGGGCCCTCTTCCTGAGGTGTGCACAGGGCACTGTCCATCAGGGCCCTCTTCCTGAGGTGTGCACAGGGCACTCTCCATCAGGGCCCTCTTCCTGAGGTGTGCACATGGCACTCTCCATCAGGGCCCTCTTCCAGACGTGTGCACAGGGCACTCTCCATCAGGGCCCTCTTCCTGATGGTGTGCGCAGGGCACTCTCCATCGGGGCCCTCTTCCTGATGGTGTGCGCAGGGCACTCTCCATCGGGGCCCTCTTCCTGAGGTTGCACCGGGCACTCTCCATCAGGGCCCTCTTCCTGAGGTGTGCGCAGGGCACTCTCCATCAGGCCCCTCTTCCTGAGGTGTGCGCAGGGCACTCTCCATCGGGGCCCTCTTCCTGAGGTGTGCGCAGGGCACTCTCCATCGGGGCCCTCTTCCTGATGGTGTGCGCAGGGCACTCTCCATCAGGCCCCTCTTCCTGAGGTGTGCGCAGGGCACTCTCCATCGGGGCCCTCTTCCTGATGGTGTGCGCAGGGCACTCTCCATCAGGCCCCTCTTCCTGAGGTGTGCATAGGGCACTCTCCATCAGGGCCCTCTTCCTGAGGTGTGCGCAGGGCACTCTCCATCGGGGCCCTCTTCCTGAGGTGTGCGCAGGGCACTCTCCATCAGGGCCCTCTTCCTGAGGTGTGCGCCATGGCAGCCTTTGTCCCTCAGAACAACAGCATGACACCAAAAACCAAGTCCTCTCCTAGCTTCTCACTTCATTCTCATCAGGTACCTGGCTTGGACCAGTACAGGATTAAGGCCTGAGGGGGTAAAGGCCACCTGCTTTTAATGATTATCTCCCTCTGAGGACTTCAGAAGGCTTCTCAGGCATTACACATTAGCTAGGTCCTTCCAGCAACAGGGCTCTCATTCTGTAATGCAAATATGACAACGTAATCCAGATCAACACAACCTGCTTGCAATCCAAATCACCCCTAAACGATCACATACCCCTGTGGACACTGCCATGCCTAATATACAGTCACCTGACATTTACTTCTGTGCAAGGTTTCCATTACTTTTCGATTCAAATAAATCCTATTGTATATGATTACTCACAAGTTAACTAGATCCATTTTCAAAACGGAGTTGGAAAGTGATCATTTGATCAACGAAGAGAGCTATGGGTTTCCATGGGTTTTCAGTATGTGGGTCCTTTATAGGTAAACCTGAAGGATTAGGAGTGAGGGCTAAGGACCTTACCACTAGGATCTGGACTGATCAGCCTGAACACCCATGTGAATTATGGGAATGGGCATCAAATATCCATCTCTGAATCCAAATTAGCACTTGTGAAGGCTTGGCTCTCAGCACCAAAGCTGCCTGCTAAGTGCCTCCCAACATGGTTGGGGACCGTGCCTAACACACGCAACAGGCCCAGAGGAGTATAACTCCTGGCTTTTCCATTTCTGGGGTGTTAAATCTGTCAGATGGGGTGGTGGGTCCAACCATCACAGACAGTCCACTCAGAAATTATCCTCTGACTGATAGGGGAATGTGTTCTAGAAACACTGTATGTTGGAGTAGATAAATCTGTTTTTCTATCTATTAGTTAATTTTAGTACAATATGAAGTTATGAAACACTCACTACACTGAGGCAACAGAGATCTATTGCTTGCACCGGGGGTGCTTACTTCTGGCTTTTGGCTATCTTTCCTGATGTCTCCATTTCGTACATGGTCTGTAGCCGGCACTTCACAAGCTCAGTGGGGCAGAGCACCAGCGCAGCAAATGCAGAGGCAAAGGAGCCGGCAGCCGCGTTCTGCAGATCACTGGAAGGACACAAGCACAGGAGGCCGATTACCTGTCGCAGTCTTCACTCACTCAGCACTCCCCATGCTGAAACACTCCGGTGGTGGAGAGCAAGCATGAAAGGAGAGAAGCAGTTCCTGAGTGGCCCCCTGGGGATCTGCACACGCTGTTCCATCCAAGGGGTTCCACAACCTTGTTTAGTTGATAGCAATACACCAATTTCCATACAGGGAAACGAACATGCCTCAAGTCACACAGCTCCCAAGTGGCAATGCTAGGATTCAAAGCCAGGTCTGCCTGACTATAAAATCCACGCTCTTTCTATTGGTCACACATTGTGGACAGAATGTTTGTGTCTCCTATCCCTAAATTCTTATGTTGAAGTCTGAACAACAATGTGATGGTACTTGAAGTGGTTCCTTTGGGAGGTAACTGGATTTAGATGAGACCATAAGGGTGGCGTCCTTGTGGTGGGACTAGTACCCTTATAGGAAGAAATCAGAGAGCTAGCCTGTGCTCTCTCCCTACCATGTGGAACACAACAAGAAGGTATCCCTCTGCCAGCCAGGAAGAGGGCCCGCACTAGACACTGAATCAGCCAGCACCTTGATTTTAGCCTTTCCAGCCTCCAGAACCATGAGAAACAAATGTTTGTTATTTAAGCGAGCAAGTCAATGGTATCTAATTACAGCACCCAGAACTAAGACACACAGGGACATACAAAACAAAACATGGAGTGGAGGAAACAAATTACCCATAGTCCCACCACCCTAAAATGCACTGTTAATACTTCAGTGTATTTGCTCATATGCTTTAAATAAAACTAGGTTCTGAGGTCATCCTTAAAAGCCCAAAATCCAACCTGGAGGAAACATATAATATAACTGCCACAGATGCAAATCCAAGATAAAATTTTAACCCAAAAGTTGCTCATTCTAAAAAGATCTCCCAGTTCAATTGATAACCTCCCGACTTCAGCAGCACTGGGGACACGCAGGAGAGGGCGAAGCCAGTGTAAGTCAGCAAGCTCAGTGGTTGCAAGGGACTTGGTTGAACTAGAAATGAAAAAGGAGGAACAAATGCATGTAAACACAAACCCAGAAGTGTTCACCTCCTCACCTCATGTTCATTTAGTACCACCAGCAGCCACCAGCAGGACTATGAAACTCCAAGAATTCAAGAGTATGGGGCAAGTCTCAGAAATAAACTGTCAGGAAGGCTTCTCTGAGAGTTCCTGGGGGTGAGAAGAGATGACCTTTCTGCGCCCAGGGACAGTTCCATCATGGGCGCCCCACTGGCACAGGGGGTGGAACAACCTTCGCTGGGCTGGATGGACTGAGCTGCTCACTGCAGGACAGCTGGCTCCCTACACTCCCCGTTCAATGCCAGCATCCTGCTGTCGCTGGATGAGCAGCACCACTCACAGATTTCCCAAAGCCCCTAGGGAGTAATGGCCTCAGCTGACTGCCCCAGCTACAAAGAGTCCCTTACAATTTTTCTCCAAACTGTGAGCAAAAGCTTAACAAACCTACCACATTCAGTTATCCTAAAGTTACAATAAACTAACAGTTACATAAACTGATGTCAAACATCAGCATCAAATCAAGGGCCACCTCCAATTCTGGCCCTGATACCCTACCCCCTGGTAGCCTGGCATCAGCCACAATGGCTGGGTGGCGGGGTCAGGTGTCAGAAGGTTGGCTCGGAGTGGCTTTCTCTCAGGAGGAAGACTCTGCTCACAGGATGGACTTCCTTCTAGTTTTAGAGAACGGGACATCAGAGCATTCCCAGAGGAGAGTAGACACACAGTTAGGCTGACACTCAGCTCTCCAGAGTGAAGAAACTGCCCGCCACTCTCTCCATTCCTTCCACCTGCTTTGCTGGGTTGTTGGAACCAAAACTTCAAATGGTTTCTACTTTCAACCAGCCTGCAGGTGTGTACTTGACCTTCCTAGGGGACTCTGTCAACCTGCTGACAGTCAACAGTCAGAGTCATTAACCAGTTTGCAAGTTTGCTGGGACAAAGGCGGTGTCAATGAATGGAGCTGCCATTCAATCTAAGACGCAGTAATGTTTCAGACACCTGAACAAATACCTCACACGTTGTTACAGCGCAACAAGGCCAGATCAGATCTGCAGTGGATTTTGGCTTTCTAATACATACTTCATCTACCAGCGCACTAAATGAGATCCACGGGCCCCAGGTTGTGCCTAAAGTACAAGGGTTTAGAGTTGGGATAGAAATGGCAACAGGCATAGGATGGGATTTTGTAAGAACCGACTGTTTGTCATCTGTTCAACAAATATGCACCTGAACATTCCTGCCATGTAAGACCCTGTTCAGCCAAAGGTCAAAAGAGAACACCACTCGGGCAGTGTTCAAACCAAGAACAGACAAATATTTACAATATTATTGCAGAAATTCACAACTGGTCCTCCCAAGAAGTTCTTTCCTTTCACTGCTCTGTTTATTAAACTTCTGTCTAGATCTGACCCCTCCAAAGTACTCCAGAGCCTCAACTGTGGTCTTATGGACAGAATGTTGGATAGGGACTCAGAAGACAGGCCCTGCTCTCTCAGTCATTACCCAGTGACCTTGAGCATGTCAGTATCTGCACTTCATTTCCTCTTCTGTGAAACATGACATCTGCTTTGCTCATGTCACAGGACCATGGTGAGGGCTAAAACACAACTTACACATCAGAGTTCTGTCAACTCTTAAGGCAGCATTTCCTTGGCAGGTGACAAGCAGACTCTGTTCTGCACGATGAAAAAGAAGACCCTCAGTTCAACAAACAATAGAGTGCTAGTTTAGGCCAAGGGAAACAGGATGGTTTCTTTCCTGCAGGACTCCTCCAGATTCCCATGGGATTGCTCACTGCTCCCCATCTCCTCCCCTGGGTCCTTCTCTAAGGATGCTGAAGGCCTACACTCTGGGTCTCCTTAGTCTAGTCTCTCCCTCGAGTTGGGGGGCGGGGGTGAGGGCTGCAGTCACAACAGGTGCTTCCTGTCAGTCTCACTAGGAAATCTCATTCTCCTAGTTTGTCCCCTTATTTCTTTCTCTTTTTTTCCTGAACCCTCTGCACTAGAGGGTCCTAGGATCAGTGCTCAGCCCTTCATTGACAGTCTCCCTGAGTGAGCTCATTCAGCCCAAGCTTTTAAAAAACAGGTTCCGTCCATCAGGAGAGAATTCCTGCGTATAAAAGGAAACATGTTTAGACCTCTAGGCACCTTCAAGAGAACATTTCTGTACAAAAGGAACCTAACTTTGGTCATGTAGTACCTTAGTTGCAATTGGATTTAAAATTCTACCAAAACAACCAATATGCCTGCCCTTTGCAACCATGAGGCTGATATAATAGTTTTAAGTTATTTCAAATACATCAGCATTCAAAGGAGGTATGGCTAAACATCACAGAGGTTTCTAAATTCTTTTTAGTCTCTGCATAATAAATACCCAAAAATGACAGGACATGAACCAAAGTCTGATGTTTGGGGCAGACTTGGCCAAAGAAGCTTCACCTGTATTTTCTCAGATGCTTCTGATCCTTCCTAAAATTCCAAGTCTCTCCTCAAACCTATCTGGTTCAGGCAACCTCTTCCATGACTCTCCATTTTGCTGATGAAGTAGAACTTAAAGCTTGGGTCACAAAGTTGCATCCAGGGCTTTTGTCTAGCACCTCTGACCACAAGAGAAGTAGCCCCACCATCAGCATCTAAAAAACATTCTCCTGAAGAATGTCAGTGCCCAGGGTGGCTCCTCCACAGTGGGTCAGCAGTTCTCCTTTTGTGCAATGCAAATGTGCATTCCAAGACAATCACAATGTTTTTTTTAATCAGAAAGAAAGTAGTTATTTTTAAAAAGAAAACATTCTTCTCTGTAAAGTATCATAATAATCTTGACTGTACAACAGTGTTGTTTTTTTACAGATCAAAAAAGTTATCAGTGTCCTCAATCACCTCAGCTTTGCCTGCTTGTCCAATCCCATCACCTTCCGCACCACCTGCTGGCAGAAGCCGTAGCACATGAAGAGGACAGAGTTCTCTGCAATGTTGGCGATGAGCGCTGGGCTGGTCCCCTTGTAGAAACCCCGGAAGCCCACCTGGGAGTACGTCTTCAGGCAGCAATCGGTGAGGCCCCTGTACAGGTCAGGGAATGTCTGCATCTTCACTTTCATCGTGTCAAAGGGCTGCCCGGTCAGCACACACGCTGTGCCCCCTGCAAGCAGAACAGAAGGCTTCTGTAACGTGTCTATGCTGTTTTAGAGTGCAGCCTCGATCACCCATGGAAATGAAGGGCAGGCAGCCTACCCCAGCACTCACCTCTGCTTCAGCTCATTTTGACCCCCCCCCCCCCCCCCCCCCCCCCCCGCCTGAAACCTTCTAAAACAACATATGTGCCTGGCACCCAGCTCCAGCCCTGAAGGAGCTCACATGGTAGAGGGACTGATGTGTGCTCACAGTCAAAAGCCACTGATACAAAGGTGTGGCATGTGTTTAGCACCATTGACAATGGGGTCAGAGGGATCTTGGCTGGAAGCCTGGCTCTGCTGTGAGATCTGGACAAGTGAGACAAGTGATGTAACTTCCCAGCCTCAGTTCCTAGTAGGGTTAGTGTAAGGATCGGATATAACAGTGGATGAGAAGACTTAGCATAATGACTGCTACATGACAAGTGGTTAATAAATAGCAGTTGCACCCCGACCAGTGTGGCTCAGTTGATTCAAGGATCGTCCTGTGCACTGAAGGGTTGCAGGTTCAATTCCCAGTCAGGGCACATACCTGGGTTGCGGGTTCAATCCCTAGTCAGGGCACGTGCAGAGGCAACTGACAGATGTTTCTCTCTCTCTCTCTTCCTTTCTCTCTAAAATCAATTTTTAAAAATATTCTTGTATGAGGATTAAAAAAGTTGCTGTGTGTGTGTGTGTGTGTGTGTGTGAGTGTGTGAGAGAGAGAGAGAGAGAGAGAGCGCGAGCGAGCACACGCGCGCTATGCAAATAGCCATATAAAGTGAAGGGGAGGAAGTCTGGGAAGAGTTAATCACTTCTCTTTGCCTAAGGCCTAGTAGTGCTGGTGACTATCAAAGGAATAGGCAACAGATAAAGAAAACGGTGGTTAATTAATCCCTGAAGAGTTAAATATTTGACCCTATAGAAAAGCCTCTATTTGGACTCTATCAATAAATGGTTTGTATTCAGATAGTGAATGAACTGAAACATACTTTTGCTTAGCAAAAATCATATATTTATTTGCATTTATACTGTAAGAGTATTAAATACAGCAAATCTAAATTGTATTAGATTAATTCAAGAAAAATTCTGAATGTAAGGAAAAGACAGAGCTAAAATGACCCAATTATATCCCCAGACCTGGGCTAGGTCGGCATCTTGGGAACTGCCACTGGCTATTTCCACCTTCCCTTGGGCCTGCAAGGCCCCTGTATCTCAGATGTTCCCTGCCTGTGTCAGGAAACATAACCACTGGATGAGGTTATTAAAGCCTAATCAAACTGAGGAGAAGGACTGCATAAAGTATTGAAGAAACAAACTCACAGACAACAGTATGAAGGTTTACCAGCGGCAAAGGGGGTGGGAGGAGGACAAAGAATGTAAAGGGGCTCAAATATATGGTGACGGAGGGACTAGACTGTGGGTGGTGAACACACAATGCAATATACAGATGATGTATTGTGGAATCGTATACCTGAAACCTATATAATGTTATAAACCAATATCACCCCAATACATTTTTTAAAAATGTAAGAAATACAATTTCATAACTTGACATTATACATAGCTACTCCAACTCAGTTGTAGAAAACAGAGATGGGGAAGAGGCTGCTAAGAATAACTTTCAAACCCAGCTGGTGTGGCTCAGTGGGTAAGCACTGACCCATGGACCAAGAGATCGCCAGTTTTTTTTCCCAGTTGGGGCACACGCCCAGGTTGCAGGCTTGATCCCCATTGTGGGTGTGGGTGGGGGGGCAGCCAATTGATGTGTCTCTCTCATCAATGTTTCTTTTCTTTTTAATCCTCACCCGAGGACATTTTTGCATTTCAGACAGAGCGGGAGGGAGAGAGGGGGGAAGAGAGAGCGAGAGAAACATCGATGTGAAAGAGACACATCAACTGGTTGCCACCCACATGACCCCAACCAGGGCCGGGGACAAACTGCGGCTGAGGTACGTCTCCTTAGTGGGAACCAAACCTGGGTCTCTCTGGTCTGCAGGCCAACACACAAACCACTGAGCCAAACTGGCCAGGGCTCTCATCGATGTTTCTATTGCTCTCCCTCTCCTCTCCTCTCTAATAATCAATATAAACATATTTAAGAAAAAAAAAAGAATAACTCCCAATATTACTGGAAAATTGACATTTCCAAAGAGTCTGAAAAGTGTTTGATCTCTTCTTTTAAGCGATCATAAGTATGGTTTTCGTGATCCTACCACTACTGTTTGTTTCTTTTAGGAGAGTAATAATTTCTGCCTTGTCTTACCTAAGTATCCCCAATTCCGAATTAGTGGAATACAATTTAATAAAACTACTGCCTGGCTGATGTGGTTCAGCCGATTGACCGTTATCCCATGGACTGAGAGGTCCCCATTTGATTCCCAGTCAGGGCACGTGCCTGGGTTGTGGGCTCCATCCCCAGTAGGGGACATGCAGCAGGCAGCCCTCGATGTATCTCTCTCACATCGACATTTCTATCTCTCTCTCCCTTCCTCTCTCTCTCTCTCTCTCTGAAAATTCAATAAAAAACTAACAAACAGCCCTGGCTGGTTTGGTTCAGTGGTTAGAGTGTTGGCCCTTGGACCAATGAGTGGCGGGTTCAATTCTGGTCAAGAGCACGTACCTCAGTTGCGGTTTGTCCCCAACCCTGGTCGGGGTTTTATGGGAGGCAACCAGTCCATGTGTCCCTCTCACATTGATGTTTCTCTCTCTTTCTCTCTCTCCCTCCCACTCTATCTGAAGATAAATGGAAAAAAAATGTCCTTGGATGAGGATTGAAAAATAAAAATAAAAAAACCAACAAACAAGCAGCGTTATTATTAGAGTTATTCTCTCCTATGTACTGGTGGGTCAGAATAAAGTCAGATCTAATTACATCAATGTAATTTAATTATTCCAAAAGAAGAGGTGAATGTCAGAATTTTTAAGCTTGGCACGTAATTTAGATAACTTAGATGCAGATAAACTGAATAAAGCATTTAATTTAGAGCATTAATAGTTTAACTGGAAGCTTCCCATAGTTTAAGACAATTATCCTGAATGGTTCAGACATCACAGATTAATATAATATGCACTTGTTGCATGTCTGTAACAGTTACATTTCCAACAGGAAGAAGGTAGGAGGCTAATGAATTTTAAATGCTAGCTATAATTGTCTCCTTTCATCCATTGAGGTAAGCTGATTCCACAGGTAATTTGCCACACACAAATGACACTGTCATGCCCCTCAAGTGGGTGACAACTATTCTGAGCATGAGCACCAACCACCAGGACCAGTAGGTCCTCAGATACCGCCCAACTCAATGAAGCTATGAATAATTTATAGGAATTAAATATTTCTCCACTTGCTTAGAGCTCAGACCTCTGATCATCTCATTCTCCTTGAACACATGGAAATAGCCTCTGCACTCTCACAGGTGTCACAGCGGGCCCCATATTTCATTCTGCAAGAGAGGCACTCAAACTGTCATACTTGATGCTTTCTTTACCAAGGTTGCTGCTGTGGATTTTCAGTCCTTGATGTAGTTGAGTCAGCAAATGACAAGGTGCTGAGGAAATCTATCGGGCATGGACAGTGTCATGGTGAAGGACAGCTCACAGGCAGGGCAGAGGTGACAAGCAGACCTTCAACCAGAATTACTCGGTGTACCCACAAAGAGGTGAGAACCTCAAACCCCTCTGGAGGTGGTCAATACATGTTCAGTTTAACAATGCAGACCAGTGTATCATTTTCAAAGTATTCCAATAAAAAAAGGCTTTTGGTTTGTTTTAATATTGGCATTTGAGAGGAACTTCAATGATCTAAAATGCCATATCCCTGACTATGCTAGTTAAGCAAGGCATACCACAAAGCACAGCCAGAGAAGAATTATGTCATTTTATAGTTCTTAAGCTACTTGGGTGCTACCACAGGTTTCCCCGTAGTGAGAGTATACTTTTGAGATCTTCTGCCTCATTTCTATAATTATCCAGTTACCTATCTTCTTCAGTTCCTTCCCCCATTGTAGCTGCTGGGGCTCCTGACCCTCTCCTGGAACCTCTCCTGCAAGCTTCCCATTAGGTGAGCTGGACTGAAAATCTGCTTGTGGAGAGGTTTACTTTGAAAAAAAAGAGATATACAGAAGAATACGTGTATGTTATACCCACATCGCCTCGGACCAGAAGTGGCTCTGCTCTTACATACTAATCACTTCCACAGGTGGGCTGTGTGCACAAAACACTCAGGGCCCTCTGTTTCTGGCTAGGAGAAAAATCCCAAAGCTTAGTAGTTTTCCCATGCAGACAGCTGGGGCAGTAAAGGCCCCAAACTAACCCCACCTCCAGGAGTGCTATTGGCCCGTGATGTAGAATTAAAACAAAGAGGACCGCAGAACTAGACAAGGAATCAAGCAGCCAAGGTCTTAGCCTCATCTGTACACCATCAAGCTGTGAAAGTTTGAACAAACCCATCTAGGCCTCCTTTCTATGTACATAATGAGCATAGAGCCAATGGTCTCTAAAGGCCCTTCTAACACCATCATTTGAAGACTGAGACCCTCCAAGTGCTTCCCCTTTGCTTTCCATTATAGAGGGAGTTCTTAGGTCACTGACAGGAACCTCCCCTGCTCAGTGCCCACAAGTCCTGAGCCAGGTTGAGAACAGACCCCCTGCAGAGAAGCCTGTTTTTCTTGGAAGTCAGAAGACTCAAGGCAGTTCTATATCAGAAAAGGGTGACTCTGTGTTTACAGGATAGGAAGAAACACCTACCCACAGTTTTCAGGAAAAGTAAATGCTAGCATGTGTAAGAGCCCCTATATATTCATACTATTGTAGAAAGGCAGTCACCAGCAAATGTCTTACACTCCAGACTCCTAACAATATGGTTGCAATTTATAACTTTCAAATTCACTGTAAGGCCCTGGCTGGTTTGGCTCAGGAGTTAGAGTGTCGGCCCATGAACCAAAGAATCGTGGCTTTGATTCTAGTCAAGGGCATATATCTCAATTGCAGTACGATCCCCGGCCCTGGTTGGGGTCATGGGGGAGGCAACCAATCAATGTGGCTCTATCACATCTATGTCTCTCTCACATTGATGCCTCCCCCCCCACCTCTCTTCCTGTCTCTCTCCCCTCCGTCCTCCATCCCTCCCATTCTACCTGAAAATCAGTGAAAAAATATCCTCAGGTGAGGATTAAAAAATAAAATTCACTGTAAGATGAGTAGATAAAAAAAGCTGTGGTACATATACACAATGGAATACTATGCAGCTGTAAGAAAGAAAGATCTCTTACTCTTTGAGACAACATGGAGGGACCTGGAAAGTATTATGCTAAGCAAAACAAGCCAAACAGAGAAAGACAAATATCATATGATCTCACTTATATGTGGAATATAATGAACAAAGTAAGCTGACAAACAAAACAGATCCAGAGACATGGAAGTAGGGAACAGATTGACAAACCTCAGAGGGAAGGGAGGTGGGAGGGTGGGAAGAGATAAACCAAAGAACTTATATGCATATATGCACAACCAATGGACACAGACAACAGTATAATGAAGGGAAGGGGGGAACAGGAATGGGGTGAAGGGTGTCAATGGGGGAAAGGGAGAGACATCTGTAAAGACAAAAGAAAATTGCTTAAAAATAAAATAAAATTCACTGTAAATTATAAATGTGGCATACAAATGCCTTCTGTGGAAAAGATAAGCTTTTCAATTCTATCACAACAAATGTGATATCTTTGATAGACTGAAGGACATTTAATTACAAAAGTTGAGTCTCTCACATGGTTAAATATCCACCTGTTGCAGAGACCAGATGGTTCCACTGTTTCCTGTAGCTGTCCAGATGTGCATGGATGGACGAGGGGGGGAACACAAGGTCTGAGAGGTTGCAGCTGGATTCCACAGCAAGCAGAAAGCCCCTGGGGCAGAACCCAGGAGCCCTTAGTTTCCACTGCTCTCAGGGTGCCGCACTCCCTGTGGTCTCTCACCTGGGAACCGGTGCCCTTGGCCTGCACTTCTTATCAGTGTCTCTAGCCTTCCTCATTAGCTTACGTTGGCTGACCTTTGGTTCATGGGAAAATACTTTGTCCTTCTCTGAACTGTAATTTCTTTTTTACAATGAAGGAAATGACAGGATGAGAATAGGTGGCCATCTGAATGCACTTGATCTGTTGAGCCACAAAGCCCCACCGGATAAAAGCATAGTGGGCAACCCACCCCTCTGGCCTCTCCATTCTAGGGAACTACAACCCATTATACGAATCAGTGTGAGAGGCTCAAGTAAACTCGTTTTCATCTGGAAAGTCTGAGCACTAAAGTGCTCCCCTAGCCCTAACATAACACAGGAATCTGGAGAACAAACTAGCAGCCACCCACTTCCCATTCTGTCCTTTGCGTCAGGCTTAGCAAAGGTGATCTCTCTAAAGAGTGGCCTGTGTGTTACCAGCTGTGCCCAGGAGTACTTACCTGTGCCCCATGAGGCCACAGTCTGCGCTGGGGCTCAGGCCTAGGCCCAGCCAACCATTCCCCAGCAAATCTTAGGGCCTCATGTTACCTTTCAGGGCTTTAAGATACAGTGAATGTCAGTCTCATTTACCAAAGACATTTATAAAAGGTGTCCTTTCTTCCTCTCGCAGTAGTAAGGACAGTAACTGGGATTCCCTGGAAAGATGGCTCCGTGTTATTTTTACACTACAGGGGCTTTGGAGACTGCCAGGCTTGGAGTGGAATCCCAAGTAACCTGCACATCCCACCTGTGTGACAAAGGACATGGGACTTCAACTTTGAGGTGCAATGTTTTCCATCTGTAAACTGGGCACTTCCCACCCTGCACCCTGACTTAAACAGTTTTAATAATAACGGGAACTACTCTACATTCAGAACTCAATATTACACTTCCATTAAATGGATTCATTCTGAGTTAAAGCATATTGATTTTGGGGTGACAAAGGTAATATTTTTACCACGCTTTCCCTTGATCTCACTTGTAGAAAGTACTTTAGGAAGAGAGGATGGAGTTTTCTTTGGGATTACCTGCGGCCCCTGCTGTGAGGTCGATGGCAGCTTGAATGGCAGGATTGGACTTCATCTTTACCCACTCCTCTGCTGGGCTCTGTGGAAGGCAACTCTGTGAAGCTTATGATGGGTTGTTCATATCCCTGGGTGGAGGCAAGAGTTCACCATCAGAAAAGCCTCTGCAGGCCTGCCACCTGGTTACTGGACCTGAACTTCTGGGAGCTGGGAAATCAGCTCTATTTTGCTCCAAAGGAAGCAGGCTCAAGAGGTCAGTGCCACTTAGTGACTGGCCTCCCTTTTTACCCACCCTCCACCTCCTAACATAAAGCTCACAGATCAAAAACCTTCCTTGAGTATCAATGCTACAAGCACTGGTGAAGTGTACTTCAATTCAACCACCCTGAAACAAATGCCAAATACGTGAGTTGGTCACTGACATCCTAAGCCACATCAAACTAGTTCTTCAGAGGCCTAAGTTGAACCATCACTCCACGAGGCTCAGTTCTAAATTCAGACAGCAGGCTGTGCTGGGTCCCTTAGAGAAAGTCACAAAATAGCTGGTCTGGTATAAGACGGGTTAGGAGCTCTGCCAGTGACACATGCCTGCCTGCCTGCTCTGCTACCAGCAGGATGGCCCCTTGGGCCCCTAAAGCTGGGGGCCCCATCTATGCAAGGAAAATAATACAAGTATTATCGTTATAATACAAAGGCAATCACAAATAGCCACATGGGACAGATGTGATAAGGCATTGTGACCATGCATCAGGAGTTCTTAGAACAACTACAAAAACGCAGCATCAAACATCTTATAGTCATCACAGTCCCCACCAGAGCTTAACCATATATACACAGAAATCACCTGGGGACTTTGTTGAAATGCACTGATTGATAGGCCTCAGGTGAGACCACAAATGCTGCCAGTCCTGACTACCAATAACATTTTGAGAAGCAATTCCTGCCCCAGTGTGTCCCAAATTTGCTTGATATGAACCACTTGGGACACCTGTTAAATATTCAAACAACTAAGCCTCTCTGCTGGAAGTCTTGATGCAGTGTACAAACCAGAGCCTACCTAACTTCAGACAAAAATCAACTATAGCTGAGGTATAAACTTAATATAGACTACAAAAAGGAACATGGATCATTAACGTACAATATTAAAATAACCAATTCTGTATGGTTTTCAAACTATGTAAGTGACTTATCTGTTAACTACAGGATCAGTTTTTATTCCTCACTACACTGAAGACCAGGTGACCTTTCAGGAGGGGTGGGTGGGCTGCATTGTTGATAAATACCATCTCCTAAATGTCAGAAAATAATTTTAGCCACCAAACGTTTTTTAACCACTTGAAGAAGGTTGCTGATGACCAGACACCAAGAATCTAACTTTCTTTACAGAAACATTTAAAAGCAGCAACAACAAAATCACAGTACTTATAGTAACGAAGTTAGAAGCTCAAGACAATTTAATGTTATTGATCGGCCTGATGAGGCAGTACCAGTTACCAAGGTCCTAATATCAAGGTCCTAATCTAATCTCCCCCTTTTCCAGGGAAAATTGAGGCCAGAAGATGATGAACTGTGGATGTGCATCAAGGAGGAGTCACACAAACAGGGCACATCCAATGTGGCTTTTCAGGGCCTTCTTTCCTTTTAAAATGGACATTTCTTTCTTAGAAGGAAAGAAAGGCGCGGTGGATTGTACGATGTTATCACTGTGAATCTAACCTCTTTAGGTAAGCCCTTATTAAACTCGTCAAATCCCACAAATTACTTGTAGAATTATTAGGATAGTAAACAGTGATGAAAACTAACACATTAGGTCAGAAAGTGTGGGCAACTGATTCAAATTATGTGCAGTTTGGTTTGACGGGGACACGGGGCTTGCGGGAAGCAAGACTGACCAGCGTGAGTTAAAACGGATTCATAAGCCTTCAGGACCACCTGCCATATAAAAACTGAACCCTTTCAGCGTCCTTTTATCCGCCTCCCCCTTAAAACGACACCAGGGTCTAACACAGGACAGACAACAGCGCTGACCATACATCTTAATCGTTCCCTAAGAAAATTAATTTCTCTGAGAGATTCCTATGAGGCCGCACGCTAGGGGAAGGTTCCAGCTTCAGGCTAAACCTGGCCCAGCAGGAGGCCCCCCTCCAGCAGTTACTGGAGCGGGGGCACAAGGGCTCCCAGCCTTGCTACTAGGCAGCCAACAAGGCACTCCCCCCCCCCCCTCCCGGGGCCTCGGGATCCTTGTCTGCACGAAGGGCACCTTAAGGAGACGAGTTCCAACTTTCTCTGCCTCCAAACGCTCGCTAACTCTGCCTAGCAACCTGCAAGAGTCTCCCATTCATGAGCGCCTCGGCCCGCCCCGGAGCTGGGGCACAGAGCGTGCCTTCCTGCAGGTGACACTGCGGGAAGGGGGCCGCTGCCCGAGTCTCCGCCGAGCTCGGGCGCAGCACGCGGACGAGGGGCAACACGCGGGTCCCTGGGCACGTGTGCTGCGCGATGGCCACCTCCCCGGCTGCCCGGGAAGGTCAGGCCACCCAGTCGCGGAGGCCCGCCCGCTCCCCGCTCCCCGCTCCCCGCCGGCTCCCTGCAGCCCGCGAGCGCCAGGCCAGGGCTGCGCTCACCGCCGCGCCAATGGGCCGCGTCCTGCTCGGCCTCCGGCCGCCTGCAATCGCCTCTCCCTGCGCGGCGGGGCGGCCGCTTTACCCCCACGTGGGCGGCAGGCCGGCCCTCCGCCCCGCCCCGCGCCGCCCCGCCCCGCGCGCCAGGGCCCCGAGGCGGCCGGCCGGGCGGGCCCCGGGGTGCCCCTGCGGCCCGGCGGGCTGGCCGGGCCGGGAAGCGGAAGTGGGCGCGGTGCGGCGGCGCGCTCAGCCGGCACGGGCCGCAGGGTGCGGCGCGCAGGGCCCCGGCCTTTGAGTTCCTCGCCGTCCCTGGCCTCCCCGAGGCCTTCTGTGAGGCTGGACTCCAGGAAACCTCGGGCCTGGGGGCGGGGGCAGCTGCTGAGGGTGTCAGGTGGTAGGAGGACTGCTGGTCAACCTTGCTGGGTCTGGGGCTCAAGGCTTTAATTTTTAATTATAATTGAGTACAAAAGTACTGGAAGAGCAGTGATGAAAATTAAATTCGCTATTGCCGGTAAACAACAAGAACAAGAACATTTCCCATTTGCCTTCCCCAAGGAAATCCATTTCCACTGATGAAAACTGTAACTAAGTCAGCCTCTCTGATCTATGCTATTTCTATGGTTCTCTGGCAATTTGTTAAAAAGCACTACTGGAGGAATGTGTTGTACACCGAGAGTAAAGGAATTTTCTGAGGGCCCTAAGACACAGCTAACACCCCCTCAACGTGAAGGTCTCGGTCTGTTCCTGGCAGCTGCTCAATGTACTACTCAGTCACAGCCTTCCAACTGCTTTGGTTCAGGCTTCATTTCTACATAGGGTTTTTGTCCTTAAAACATAGTATCATATTCTTTTACAACTTTCTGCCCTATCTGTATATGGTATCGGACTATTGCCAATGTAATTAAGTGATTTTTGGCCCTGGCCAGTGACTTAAGTATTTGACGTGCTGAAGAGACCTCCCTGAGGAAGGAGGTGCTGTGAATGACTCAGAAGTCAAGATAAGTGGCTGCTCACAGCAATATAGCATAAGACTGTCTTCACAGGATCAGCACTTTTGAGAACTCAAGTTTCTGGAACAAAATTTAATTACAGAAACAAGCCAGGGAATTCCAGTGACTTGCCCAAAGTAACATATAACACAGCTAGTGGGAAGCAGATCCAGGAGCGTAACCTCCCAGTGACAACATCCTAGAGGACTGAGCAACTTTCAGTATCACCTTCTAGTTGTCTTTTGCGCACTAGAAACATGAGGCCCAAAGGAAAGTTTATTAAGGATAGACCCAGATCTTCTGTTATACATTAGAAAGAGTTCTGAAAAGTTTCAAGTCTCTGTATGACCTTTAGTGAGTATTTTAAATTTTGAAAATCCTAGTCATCATGTGACTACATCTCCTTTGAACCACCTGCTCCCGGAGCAATTCACTACGGGCTGCCTCTACTGCAGATCACCAGTGGCACCTTTGCTGATCCCTCATCCCCTTACCTCCCCATACTTTGCTTGTGTCCCTTTAGCCCTCACAATGTTATGGTGAAAGTGAGGTATCCCTTTCCCCACTGGGTGCTGAGGGTGGTGCTCTTACAATATCTCAAGAAAAAGAATTTTCTGAGACTCGCACAGGAGGATGATTTTTATTTGCATGGAATCATATCCTTGGATTTTCAAAGCCCCATTTCCCTTAATCCAGTCCTGGAAGATGTGCAGCTGGGGATTCAGCAGAGCTAGAAGCAAACCCAGCGTCTAAAGTTTTCATTCCATGGTAGAGTTGGGTCTGGCACAGCATCAGGCTAATTGCAGTCCATCAGTACATTATGTGTGGGGTCCACATGGCTGTGAGCCATGTGGGTGAATGCAGGGGAGCCAAGAGAACACACCCCCAGCAACAAGAATCTCAAGATTCCTGGAAACACAAGAGAGCAAACTTCTTTGTTCAGGGGATTAAATGTCTCAAATATTCCCACCTTTGCAGTGGGTATGCCTACTCTGGCCAATGACCTGTTGTTTCCAGGTGTGACTGACAGGCAAGTACCTTCCCTATGTCACCCCTACTTTAATGGGCATGGGTCTATTCTCCTCCTGTCCAGTCCCTTCCTCCAGCGATCTGAGGGGAATAGACACATGGCTCTCTGGGGAGTGTTAAACTGCAGCATCCTGGCAAAGCTGCACAAATGGAATGCCTATTTTATTTGGCCTTCCCTTTGCTCCTTTTTAGTTATTAATAACTAGGTTAATTACAACAGTATCAACAAGTGATATTCCAAACTATCAGCACTTTTCCCAAGCCTTCTACATTTCTTCTCTTCCTCACGTTTCCTTGACAACCATCAGCCTCAATTTATTCTATAAACTAAGAAGCAAGCAGGAAACTTTCCTGCAAAGTTTCAACCCCTATTCTACAAGGGTTGCCTTTTTAGCACAAGCTCTCATGCGTTTTTCTTCTGCTTGCTGTTTTGCTTGCTGCCCCATGAATGATGCTGGTGAAGAAACAGGTTTAAAGGGGTCAAGTCACTTGCCCAGTGTTGTACAGGTACTAAGGGGAGAGTTGAGACTCATCAAAGTTCTTTCCAATTCTAGTTCTTTTCAATTCTAGTTGTTCAACACAGTTCATGTTCTTAACCACTATGCTATAAAGCAATACCTTCCAGAAGACTTCCTCTTAAAAGCAAGAAGTTGAAAAAACTAGAAGTTCTTTCTTCTGGATTAGATCTTCCTCCACAATACTTTGTAAAATCACCTCAGCAGCTTAAAATTCTTCACAGCAGTGGCTCTTTCTGCTATCGTTGTTTTAGGAATAAGGAAACATATACAGAGGTCAGAAAGCTGAACATCTCACAGGAGCTCAGAGAACTGATTGGTTGGCATTGAATCATGAAAATGTTCAAACTTTTTCCTAAAGGTAATTCCCAGGACTCTGATGTCCCCTTGAGAACAGAAATTTAGAGTAATTGCTGCTCTCAGTGTAGGTAAGTCAAATAGTATTTCAAACCTGGGTTCAAACCAGCAAACAAATCAATGCACTGACGTCTTTGCTCCAGGTAGCTGTTTGCTTCACTTGGGATTGCACAATCCAGGGACATAATGCAGCTGACTCTGTGATGAAGTGGCAGGTGTGACATAGGTCAGAGGTAAGGGGGCAGAGTGGCTACATGGAAGAGGGAGCCTTTGCTATTTCAACAGAATTTCACAATGCACTGGTTAATGATACTAAAAGGAGAAATAATTTCATCACTTGAAGAATTTTTGGCCCTAATACCATGTGGATATGTTTTAAGAAAGTATTAATTGGAGTTACAAATAATTCAAAAACATAAATTATCTCTGATTCAAGGGTACTTTTAATTAATAAAAAAAAAAAAGAAGGAAAAATGCTTTCATTACAGTTTCAACTCCCATAGAATATTCTTGGCAGCTGATGTAACTTTCATTAAAAACTCCCTCAAATCTTTTTTTGGAATGAGGTAGAGTTTGTATTAGGATTAAACATGTATTTGGATTTCTGTCTATGTGGAATAAGGGGATACAGTAATTTGTAACCCATGAAAGAGTTGGTAAGAGAGTATTTTAAAGGGAGCCAATTTCTGTTTGTTTTCTAGTTTTAATGAGAAATGACTGACATATATCACTGTATCAAGTTTAAGGTGTACAGCATGATGGTTTGATTTACATTTATTGTGAAATGATTATCACAGTAGATTCCGCTAACATCCATCTTTTCACATAGCTACAATAAAAAAAAAAAAGAAAGAAAAGTTTTCTTTTTATGATGAGATTTATTTGAATACACTCTTTTAATAATTTTTTATATATTATACAGCAGTGTTAGCTGTGGCCATCATCATGTTGTACATTACATCCCTAGTATTTATTTAGTTTATACCTTTTGACTACCTTATTTTGTTTTACTGATTTTAGAAAGAAAAAGGGAGGGAAGGACACACAGAGAGAGAAAGAGAGAAACATCAATGTGAGAGAGAAACATCTATCAGTTGCCTCCCACATGCACCTTAACCAGAGATTGAACCCAAAACCTGGGTATGTGCCTGACGAGGAATTGAATCTACCACCTTTGTGTACAGGATGATGCTCCAGTTAACTGTACCACACCAGCCAGGGCTTAACTACCTTCTTCTATTTTACGTTTTCTTGGCAGCTTTTTAAAAGCTAACATGCATATTTCATGAACTGTAGGTTTGAATTTGTAAAAGATATGTTTTTTATTTGATTTTTTCCTTTTTATTCAATTTATTGGGGTTTCAGGTGCCCAATTCCACATCATACCATCTGTTTGTTGTATTGTGTGTTCACCAAGATATATTTTTTAAAAAGACATAATTTATAACAGTAAAGAATTAGGAGAAATGCCCATAAATTGTTAAATTTTAATGAGTCTTCAATAAGAGGAAATACGACGTCATAATTTTAAATAAAATTTTCCTAAATCATGTGCTTTAGGGTGTATTTAGCTACAAGTAATACTCAACTATCAGTATATTTATTTTTAATACAAAAAGAAATTTAGAAATAGGAAGTTCCAGGGTTGGTTGATTTAACAGCTCAAAAGTATCTGGGTCAGCTTTTCTATGATTGTCTTGGTTTTTCCCCTTATGATCACAAAGCGGCTGTCACAGCTCTATCACAGGTTCAAATGTATTATCTCACATCTCCTTTTTAACAAATAAAAAATCTTTACCAGAAGCCCTCTGTCAAACTGCCAATGTATTTCATTGGCCCAAAATTGAGTTTCATGCTCCCCCAAACATAAACATTGAGAAGAGAATAGATTTACCATAATTGGTTTAGAACAGAGGTCAGCAAACTTCTTCTGAACAGGACCGACTAGTAAATAGTTTAGGCCTTGCAGAGCATACAATCTCTGTCACATCTATCATCACTGCTGTGACAAGCAAAAGCAGCCACAAAGACTGTAACAGCTAAGTTTGGTTGTGTCCCAAGAAAACTTTATGAACACTGAAATTTGAATTTTATATAACTTTTACCTGTCACAAAATGTTATTGTTTTAAAAAAATTGTTCAAACATTTAAAACTGTAAAAAATAT